CAAACCCCATCCAAAAGTTGCAAACTCTGGTGGCCCGGTCCCGGTGGCCCGGTCCCGGGGTCCCGGTGGCCGGTCCCGCTGGCCCGGTCCGGTGGCCCGGTCCCGGTGGCCCGGTCCCGGTCCCGCTTTAAGGGTGCGTGCCCGCAGGCCCGCGCGAAAAAAGACCTATTCTGGAACTCCCCGCATGGGATGGGTAATTTGAGGCCAACTCAGCAGGTGCTGGCACCAATGCTTCCATCGCTTCATCAACAGCTGTGTCAAGCTGACACTGTGGCCAGACATCACCAGACATTCATTTCACACTCTATTCCGCCAAGACTGAGACAAGTTGCTGAATTGGGCTGGGTCGTCTGCACTAGCACAGTCATTTCCTTACCGCTTGTTTGGAGAGAATGGCAAACAATGCAGTAACATCCCACTTTAGCAATACACTTCGGCTATCGCAAGACCTGCTGCACCTGAGAGCCAGGAGTCATCCCAATTCACCTCCAGGACTTCAGCAGTCTGCCACTCCACCCCGAAGCGCGCGTCCAACTTATCCTTCCGTCGAAAATCGCGGAAACTCCGAACGTCCTGGCAGAATGAAGCAATGCACAAATGCAACGATGGAGCGCACAAAGGCGATCTGATGCTGCAATCTGTGTGGCACATCACGTCACTAACGGAATCCACTGGCACAAATCCCCCTGGGGTCTGGCATGACAGAAAAGTGGGCACAGGAAGTCCTGGAACTGCGGGACCGTCTGACTGCGATACTGTGCCAGGCGGTCTGAGTTTCGCTCGATCCATTCACGGCCTGATGAGCTGTTTGCTCGTGGTGCTAGGTGCAAGGCCTCTTGTGGCAACAACCGCTGCGTCGTGAAGAAGTGGCCTTGTGCTAGGAGCTTCTCCTCCTCACTGCGCATCTCTACCTTCAGCTGCTTCAATGACCAAGGTTGACATCGGGACTGTACATGGGACCCGTTCACCTCTGGACAAGGCCAGACCAAACCCACAGCACGGACTACATGACCCTCTTCCGCCTTTGTTCATCAAACCAAGTCAATCTACGTCCAGACGAGGTATTACTCCATCATCTCCCTCCTTTCCTTACCCTAACCTTCATTCGAAGTCTGCGGGTGGCTGACAGAGCCACCACTTCCAGACATGTAATCGACTGTTTCAAGCTGGCTTGGGCCCGTGGCATGCACAGAAAGCTCTGCAGCAGGTCCACGCAAGATATCCCCCATGCACATCGAGGCACGCCAACACGCTCGAAGAGTCGTGCCAACTCCTCAGATCGAAGCCAGATCTGTGCTTGAGGCTAGGTGGGAACCAGTGGACTTAAAGGAGTCATCAGGTAAAGGTTGGGATATGGCGTATGCTAATGCAAAGAACGGATAATGCAAGCTCTTGCGGCTGCGAACTGCTGCGTGGCCACTCAGTGATGTCGTTCATGCAGCCATGGGGCATTCTTCAGGAAGTAGCTTTGGTTATCCGGAGAGCGGGCCTCAACAAGTGATCTTACTGTCACAGAATTTGTTGAGAGCAGCATTGCATGCACTTTCGTGCGGAACGAAAACCTCAAGGTTGGAAATAGTAGGTTGCAGGCGAGACGTTGTCGCCAGTACTCCTTGAGGCCCTCCACAGGCACGCCTCTCCATGCTGATGATAAATTCCAATGAGCATATTTCTCCAGAGATGCATGCCTCATCAAAAGCACTGACACATACTAAGATGCGTAGTGCTATTGATAGAAGCACTAAAGGCAACACGGTAAGGCTCTCAGGGGAAACATGTACAAGAGATCTGCCCCGGGACCTGTGATTCACACTGCCGAAGCGCCTGCATCTGTACTGAACTCGGGCTTCAGGATTTCTGCCACCCTCGTGGAGTCCTGACACGAACCCCTAAAGCGTAAACGCCCAATCATACTTGGCCATCTGCATGCAACAGGTGCTCACTGACATCAGGTTACTAACATCAGATACATTCGGGTTCGCGGATGCAACTTGGCAGACTTTTTCGTCACCATACCGGCCACTCCAGAGCTATGCCGGACTGTGTCGGTATGTCTCAGGTGCTATTTTGGGGAAAGCAGAGTGGCATGCAGTACTACTTCCCACCAAGTGTGCAATTGTCAACTTTGATGCCAAAGCCAAAATCTGAGAACCTTTGTAGCAATTTCGAACCCCAATCTCGTCACACTACTTGAAAAGCTGTAGGGCGCATGTTTGCATCGAGGGCTATGAAGCCAACAGCTTCTGGCTGTCAGCTTCAACTGCGCAGGCGGAGGCCATGACTGGACTACTTCAAGTAAATGCCTGCCTCCCGCTTCAATCTTATTCAAGGAATTCGGCTGCTCTCGCCCAGGCTCCAGCTGAATCGGGTGACACTTGTCCGAAACCTTCGGGCATACTGGAGGAACGCGAATTTGCCAGGTCGTCTTCCTCAACCTCTGAAATCAAGAAAACACCGCTAAACGCTAACAATCAGTCCAAAAAGGCACCCGAAGGGTATGGAGCATTGATGTCGCGAGTTGTGCGGTCACACAGCTCGCGCACGAATCGGAGGCCAGGCTATAGACTAGCACACCGCGAGCAAACCACTTCTGCACTGTTATTTCGGAAAATCGACTTCAGATGCTGCAGTGCATAAAAGAAACACTGAATCACATAAATGCGAAAGTGGTGGCGTGGACAGGTTACACCTCACGCGTCAGAACGTGCCGCCAGTGCCACTATGCGTTGTCAGAGCCAATGGCGTGGCTTCTGTTGCTTCGGAAAGACCAAACTGTTTCCTTAGTCTCTTTGCCAATGCTCTTGCCGGGAATACATAGCAAACCTACGAAGCATGCCGTTTCAAATTCCACTGCAGTTTGGCGGTGCTCCAACATCTTCCGCTCTTTCCACCCGCCCCCCCCCACCCGCCTCCATTGTTCCTACGCACTGACATGCTGTCTACGTATTCCCTTCTGTGTCCTGATTCTTGTTGTTTGGGCTTCTTGCTACTACACTTCTGGCTGCCCTTTGTTTTACCGCTTTGCCATTTCTAACACAAGTGCCTGTACTTTGACCACTACTGCCACTACTGGTATTTTTACTGCTTCGTCCAGCCCAGCCGCCAGCCCCTCTGCTTCACCGGCCTCGGTATGTCCATGGCATCCTCGCGTGCAGGCTCTTCAGGATGTGGATACAGGAGCCTCAGTCAGCAGCTCAAAAGATAGCAACCTCAGTCCGTATTTGTCTACTTAGAAGGGCGGTTGCCATTCTGATTGCATACTATGCAGACTACACGTGTCAAGCCTGCGCAGCCTGATGCCAAGACGCAAATATCAAGTCAGGACCCGAGCGTTACCAAGCCTTACCGGAACCGAGCAGCTTCAAGTACAGGCAAAGTAGGGACGACAGGCAGCACACAACGTTGGGAGCAGCGATCATCGGGTCAGAGAGCATGAGGCCACAAATGCACCAAACCACCGCACTTGCCAAGTTGGCCACGACCAGTGGTCCAGGTATGGCCCTGCTATCCTTCGACCGAATGACCGCAGGCAGACAGAAGAGCATGGAGATGGCTCCGACAAAGCTGCAGAAAGATGATACCAGGCCAGTCATGAAAAGAGCCCGCTCGACTGGAAGCGTGGTCAGGGCACAGACTTGGAGTAAGATCAAGGCCACTACTGCAGCCAGGTACTTCTGCAAGTTCTGGAGCATCTCTGGATTACGACAGTTGCGGAAGTAAGTGATGATGTAATAGGTCCCGAGGATCGCCCCCAAGAAGTTGGAATGCACCAGAATGAGGAAGCCGCTGCGGGTAGTGATGAAGTAGGCAAAGAAGCCGTAGTAACACCATTGCCAACCACCGAAAGCGATTGAAACGTATGGAGCTGCATCTGACTCGCCAGTGCAGCCACGAATCTCCCACCTCTTCACCTGAGGATACGGGCTGATTTGCACCAGGATGTTCCCGGCCATACACATTGCCTTGACCATGCTGGCAAATGTTAGACCTTAGCTTGGGCAGGGTGTCAGTGACGCTTGAATCCTAACATCACAATGCTTGGACGCCTCACAGTATGACATGATCCAGTCATGTGGCCCGCAAGTAAGGACTCAAGGGCGGTGAGCTCTTGCCAAACCCGCCAAGGATTCCAGGTCTGCGCAGAGTACGCTTTCTCCCTGTCAGGCGGAGGGACTGCCGCAGTGGTTACAAGAGCCTGTGCCGCAGAAGATGGCGCTGGCGCGACTGGGGGCGATGCCACCGGGGCTGCAGCCACCGGCATCGTCGCAACGGGCGCCGTTGCAACCCGGGCTGCTGCAAGAGGGGCTGTCACAGCAGGCGCCGTTGCAACAGGCGCCGTTGCAACAGGGGCCGCTGCAACAGGGGCAGTCACAACAGGGGCCGTGACAACAGGGACCGTCACAGCCGCAGGGGCTGATGCTACTGAGGCCAATGCAGGCGAAACCACTGCTGGTGCTGCAACGATGGCTGCCTTGAGCTTGAGAGCTTCTTGTTCTTTAGTTGCAAACCAAAATGTTTACTTCAAGATGAAAGGACAAACAAGGGGTTTGCCTCCATATTATGTTGACTAGCTGCTTTCTTTTCCGTAGGTAGCTGCTCTGGAGAAGCTTGGACTGACAAGGTAGCGATCAATGTCGCGTCGGGATCGTGCGGCAACGCTGGCTGAGCCGCAACTGCTTCAAGGGCAGGAGCAGCTGAAGGCGCTGGAGCTTCCAGTTTGACCAGGGGCACCTGAAGTCAAATGTCTTTCTGGCCTTAGCTAGATTGCTGCGCAAAATTCAGATAAGCCACGACTACCTTCTCAGGGAGCGCTGGCGTGGATTGGACTGCCACCGCAGTAGGAGCCACAGAAGATGGAGTCGTTGCTTGAGGGTGCTGCGCTGGTCTCGACTCCAGTGAACTCTGCACAATGAGCGTTTGGGTCCCGATGTTTGGCTCAAGCCTTACGACGGGAGCGAGATCTTTCGTCACAACTTCTGTTGGTTTCTTTTCCAAGAAGTCGCCCCCAAGCGTAGGTTGCGCGTAGAGCACACGTGCGAAGTTCAACACAAGCGTGATGCGGAGTAACCTCGCCATCACCATAAGTGGTTGCTAAGCCTGAGCAATTGATGTTGCCTAGGACCAAAACCCGCTGCTCTACGAAAAAACAGTGAAGAAGACAAAAACGTCCAAACCAAGAGCAAAATGCTGCCAAGTATCGGACAGTGCATGAAGAATTAGCGTCAGCGAAGCCAACACAAGAGCCAGGCCCAAGCAACAAAGGACTTGGAGCCAAAGCAGAATCAAAAACGCGTCATGGCTTGCATGATGCACAATGATCCGAACAATCATCCTGATGAGTGCGCATGAGGTCTCTACCCAACGAGAAGGCAGCCCGCCTCAGGAATGTACTCGTTTGTGGCGCACGAGAACAGACCACGAAGGCCTCCACCTGGTATCCAGAAATGTATCTGGAGCACCCGGAATCAGCTTCATTTTCAGCGCAGGCTTCAAGTCTAAGACTCCTCCACCTGAGCACCGGGCGTTCGATAACACCGTTGGTGCTGTAGCGAGCGAAGACCTTGTCGAAGGCCTGCTCTGCATCCTGCCGCGGGTGTTCGATAAAGCAGGCACGGACTCCTTGCACCAGCTTTGACAAGCGCAGAAAACTGTCCGCTGTCAGCACCGATAGCTCTCGCACGTTCTCCGGCGCCACTACCTCGATTTTGCGAAACACGCTGCAAACAGAGCAGATCGAAAGGAAGCGGACGACTGTCTTTTGCCTTGCTTGCATGCATCTGGCGACCCTCATTTGTAATATGCTTCTTCCTTCAGGCGGTAGACTAGACATACAATCACAGCTTACAGACAAACTGTGAGGATAAGCATCAATTAGTCCGTGACCATCTAGCCAGCGCGCAGAAGCCGTGCGCATCAATCAAACGGCCACTTTGCAGCATGTCAGCGGGCTCTGCGGCCTGATGTATGTCTGGGGCTCGTGCAGGCCAGGTGTTGTTCTCGTCCAGCAGCTGAGCTTCAAACCTCAGCAGCTTCAAACCACGTGCATCCTTCCTTACATAAGTATAGGCAGCAAATGTGTATGTGGATGGTGGAGATCCAGATCTGGGTCTCCAATTCTTTTCAGGCAGGCTGCGACTGGTCGCCATTGTCGGCGGTGATTTTCACCTGCAGGACTGCAGCAAAAGGAGGAAAACCGGCTTTGACATATAGACCGCAAGAGGGACGTCTGGGTTCTGGAAACAAATCATATGTCGGGTCTTGCTCTCATTCTTCTGGTGTCGTAAGGCAGAGGGAATCTTGGGACCATCTTAGAAGGCTTCTCCACACGCCTGGTGCCAAGTTCCACGACCTTAGATGCCAGCTTGCTTGGTTGAAGATGCATGGAAGTCCGTGCAAGGTCCACTCTTTAAGACTTTACCTACGATGCAAGTTCTAGATGTGGCTGGAATAGCCTCTGCATCTTCATCTGAGTATTGAGATCGGCCGGGGGACTGTCCAGCGACTCGTAGTTTTTCCCAACCTCACAAAGGATGAACCAGGACCGTCAACACATAGGGTAACTATGCCCTACGCCTTCGCCTGCAATCGAACTTGAGACAGAACTCCATCTGGTCTTATGTAAATGAATGTGTGAGAAGGCATGTTTTGCGGCCTCAATGGGATCGGCTTTCTGTCCTTCGATGATGAGTGACGTCGTCGAAAGGCTCTTCCCCTGGCGAATGCAAGTGTTGTTTGAGGGAAGACCGTGGCATCTCACCCGATGGCTCTAGGTGGCAAATCTCTCTGAGCTGGCCTTGGGCTTGGGCCGATTGTGGAACTGCACCAGGAGCTGCTCTTCCTTAGATTAGTACACTTTCTGGTCCTGGTCCTTTGCAATAAGAGTCTCGCCATGAAAGCTTACACGATGGCTAAAACACATCATACTCCAGGATGCTATGCAGGCAGAATGGATTCAAGACTGCTTTCAATCGCCCAGATGCTGTCACCTCTACGACAGTGGCGGCGTACCAAGTCAGCACATCTTTCCATACATAGTCTCTGCTGACGTGGTCCCACCTATGTTAGCCATCTCCACCATAACCCGGCTTCTGCCAGGAAAAAGTTACTGGCTGTTGGTTCAGACATGACGTGCTTCACTGTTGCTAGGACTGCAATTGAAGATTGAGAAATCTGCAGCCTAAGTTGCTTCTGTTCCTCGGTGGTAGTGCTGGCGTCGATCTTATCACCAACATCCAACACCACATTGGGATCTCTGGGATCCTGCGTTGGCTTGGCTGGAGAAAGTCATGGCAGCGAAATGATAGCAAGCATGCCTCAGATGAGTAGAGCTTCAGCCGTCCTTGAAGTTTTGCCGCTTGTATTCCAGTCGTAATCTCTGGAAGAAAGGCCACCGGAGAGCTTGCTCCAGCGAATCGCCGCCCCGACGGCTCCTTTCCAAGAGGATGGAAGCCCCATCCACAACCTTTGCTGTCGCAATCGCCGCCAAGCACATGTCCCAGGCGTCTGCCGTGGCCCTGCGCATAAGATTGATCCAAGCAACGTCTTCTAAGGTAGCCTCATTCTCCAACTGCTCCCAACCTTTCAAACACGCATGCATTCGAGAGCAAAATCGATCCACAAGCCCATCGAACACCTTCCAGAGAATCCAGGGCAGTCTGGTCCAACTCAAAGTTGGGGCGGTGCCACAAACGCCTGGTTCACTGTTGAAGCTGCAAGTGTGGAAATCTTGAATTGAATCCCACCACAAACACCCCAGCATCAAAGGCCAGCATACTAAAAAGCAACAACAAAGACCACGACTTGCAAACCCAAGTAAGCCCAAAAAAAGAACAATGGATGCAACGCGTGGAACATGTCTACTTGCATACAGGCCACACTGCATGCACATCATCTGGATCCCGCAGGTTTAGATTCGAGACTCGGTGTGCATGTCATCACTCTGTGGCTACCGTGAGACACAGTCAGAATTTGATCCAACGATCCTGAGCTTCCTGCGAAGATTCCGGATAACCTGTGGGGAAGACATGCTTGGGGTGCTTGGCACAGATGTCCTTTGACGTCAGGCCTCCTCTACCACCTCAGACGTCGAGAACTGGACGTCAAAAAATCTATCTTGCTCCGGGTTGCCATAGTCGTCAACCTTTCGGCGGAATCATGCTGAATAGAAAGTCTCACTCTTTACCGCTTTTCCGAGGTTCAGGTCAGAGACAGCCAGGTCAGCAGTTTCCGTTTATGCCACTCTTTGTCCAAAACAAAGTGAATATCAAACAGACAGCTGGGGTTTCAAGGGTCCCATGCTCTCTACTTTGCTTCATCGCAAAGCTATCTTCTTCCTTGCAAGGGTGCCTCCTGCCATCACTGGCTCTACACAAATCTGGGCCTATGAACAACTCGTGGAGTCCCGTTCATGCTGGAGCCCGAGACTATGGTCCCATGCTCCTGCCAATTGCCCTGGAGCATGCTCAACTTCCTTGCGGATGCTCTCGAAGACGCCGCTGCTAATTGGGTGATGTCTACCGAAGGTGCTCTCAAGGGTGCTCCAGACCATGCTTTTCATGTCTGATTAAGCAAGGATTGCTGTTCGTTCTCTAGATTGGGGTGAGGGGGGCGGGAGGGGTGGCGGGGGGGGGGGGGAAGGGGAAGGGGTCCAAAAAAGAGGCATGCCCATCACTCGTTTTTCGGGTGCGCGGGTGTTTTAATTGGGTGGATCTTCACAAGCAGGAGACGCACCAGTCAGCTTAAAGACAGGGTAGCGGGAGCCGTGGTATCCGTCCGCGTGGGCACTGCTTACCACGTTGTTGCTCAACAGCTCCACTGAGCTCTACTGGACTGGATGGCAAAACTCAAACAATTCCATTCCAGAGCCGCTTGGTCATGAAGGCCTTGTCGCCAACAGATCCTTCCCTGATCGGGATGGCCACCTCCTTAAGTCTGTAAGATGTCCTATGGTACAACTGCTGGTGTCAGGCCAGGGCAGTGCTTTGGCAGCAAGGACTTGCTGGGTTTTCGTGTGGGGCGGCCGCCTCATAGCGAAGACCACAGTTGCTTCGATCTGAGGTTAGGGTCTCATTCTCTACTCAATTTGTTTCTACCAGCTTCAGGCGCATCCCAATGCTGCTGCATCATGCTTTTGCATTGTTGACAGGAAAAATGCTTTGCCTGGTAGACTTTCAGGCACAGCGGGTACAGTTCGACTCGCCTCAGATTTTTTCATCCTGTTGGACACTGAAAAGCAAGATACTCTTCTCAGAGGTGCTCGGAATCAGCGTCATTGAATGTCATTGAAACATACCGCTCTACGTGCGCTGC